AAGTATGCTAAAGTTGACCTCTGTTTTCACAAGTTGAAACATCACACCTGTCCTGATAATAAAGGTGTGGTGTTTCAAATGCAAGTGGATGAGAATTATTGTGTTATTAGTGGTGTTTGCCAAGGCAATTATTACTGTTACTTACAGTTTGGGTGACCAATTAGAACAAACCCTTGACCCTAACTTGTTTATGCTACTCACATGAGTATTACATCAAATCATGCAGCATGTTAAGAAGAGGTGTGCTTTACAAAATGTGATTAAGGGTGGGATATTTTGCTATGCCAAGCAACCAGCCACTTAGAAAGGCCCAGCAGCCATCCACAACTCTAGCACTGAGGTGTTGAGTTTTGCACGGGCAAGCAAGCTAAAGAAAAGGTATTTCATGAGAGCTTTCGTGGCATGTCTCGTCAATCAAATAAAAACCTATAATCATTGTCATGCAACTCACACATTCAGCAAATCTCAGACAGAAATAAGCCATCATCGTAAAAGGATTACAGTAGAGCTGACCTGCATGCAGCTGCTGTTAAGTGTTTCTGACTGCGGATGTCTTGATGACAGGCTCCACACCACTGATGCATGCTGTGTCTGGGAGGCAGGTGGATACGGTCAAACTGCTGCTGAAGATGGGAGCCTCTATAAATACGCAAGATGCCTGTGGACGGACGTCTCTCTCTCTAGCGACATACCTGGTAACGAAACTCTCTGAGGATCATTGATGAGCTGGGACCCAAATTAAAAATGCACATTGTGTGCATTGCTGTCAATGGATTGTGTTTATGAACTGCATGTACGAAGTTGAAGTGACCTTCCTAGCTTTTTGACTGAATTAAATCCTTGTTTAGTTAGTTTAGTCTGGTGGTTTTATCCTGTGCAGGGCTGGCTGGAAGGCTGTGTGTGTTTGCTTCGCAACGGGGCGAAACAGAACATTCCCGATAAGAACGGACGCTTGCCAATTCATGCTGCTACCGCTGAAACTGACTTCAGGTAACGAGGAAAATCAATTCACAAATAGGTGAACAGTTAGGCCAAATGAAACAAAAAGTAGTCAGTGCTACATTCCTGTAAACAAAAAACATTACATCGACCATCCTGCATTGTTGTGTATTAAAATCATTGCAGAATTGTGTTTCTGTTAAATTGGAACAACTAATTTTGTGCTTAATGCACGTTAATTGTGCAGATGTAGTGCTGAAGTCCAACTAAAGATATACTGAATTATATTTAATTGTGCTAAAGTGGAACTATTGCAAGTATACTTCAGATACACTTTAAATATCTTGCATTTAAAGACCGATATTATTCAAA